TTGAAAAAGGTTTTTCAAAAGGGAAGGTTGACACTACAATATTTTTAAAGCATAAAGGTAAAGATTTATTAGTAGTTCAAATTTATGTTAATGATATAATATTTGGTTCAACTAATGATGTTCTTTGCCAAGAATTTTCTATGCTAATGCAAAGTGAATTCGAGATGAGCATGATGGGGGAGCTCTAATTTTTCTTGGGACTCCAAATCAAGCAAAGAAAAGATGGCATCTTCATCAATCAAGATAAGTACGTCAAAGACATGCTCAAGAAGTTTGGATTGGAAAATGGGAAACCGCATGACACTCCAATGAGCTCATCAACAAAGCTTGCCATAGATGAAGGAGGTAAATGTGTGGATGTTAAATTATATAGGTCAATGATTGGTTCTTTGCTTTATCCAACTGCAAGTAGATCGGACATTATGTTTAGTGTTTGCTTATATGCTAGATTTCAATCATGCACTAAGGAATCACATTTACTAGCTGTTAAGAGGATCTTTAGATACCTTAAGGACACTCCTAGTTTAGGACTTTGGTATCCTAGAGACTCTAGCTTTAGATTGCATGCCTTCTCTGATGCGGATTATGGAGGATGCAAATTATATAGGAAAAGCACATCCGATACTTGCCAATTCCTTGGAAATATGTAGATTTCTTGGTTTTCAAAGAAACAAAATTGTGTTGCATTATCTACCACTGAAGCGGAATATATTTCAGCCGATAGTTGTTGTGCACAAGTTTAATGGATGAAACAACAACTTTTTGATTATGGAATTCAAGTAGGTACCATTCCTATCAAGTGTGACAATACTAGTGCTATTTGTCTCACTAAAAATCCCATCCAACACTCTAGAACTAAGCATATTGAAATAAGACATCACTTCATTAGAGACCATATCGCTAAGGAATATGTAGTTCTAGAATTTGTTGATACTTTGCATCAATTAGCGGATATTTTTACAAAACCTTTAGACAAAGAAAGATTTTGGACACTTAGGAGAGAATTAGGTTTAACTGACCTATCTTCACTTAGTGTTTAAAATAATTTTAACATTTTTAAGAATAAATGAAAAATGCTTATAATAGTAATTTTTTATTGCATTCATTGCTATTAGTTAGGGGGAGTTTATGTTCTTTGGTGAAAATTATGTTCAAATGTTGTTTAAGGATTAATTTGATTGATTGAACATGATTAATTTTCAATATATGAGTTGCCAATACCACTAGAGATAATTAATTTAGCATTTTTGAGTGTTTAAAATGGATTTTTTTTCATTTTTGTGCTTCATGCATCGACACACTTAACAGTGCATCGATGCATCCCTTTGAATGTGCATCGATACACCATGAAGGTGCACCGATGCACGCCTTGAATGTGCATCGGTGCACAAGGCCATGCATTGATGCATCCGTCGGGTTTTGGGTTTAAAAGGCTTATTTTCTTATTTGTTTCAAACCATAAAACTAAACCCTCTCTAACCTCACGCCTCTCTTCTTCTCTAAATCCTCCATTTGCTCAAAATCAATGAAAATTTGTCAGAATCTTTGAGTTTTTCATCTCTATATCCTGCTACTATCATTAAATCGTGCAACACAACATCTCATTCTCTTCAATCCGAATTTTTCAAGGTATTTTTCTAAAAACTTCTAGTTTATCATATTTTGATCTTAGGACTAGTTCTAGGATGAACATTATACCGGGCATTGATTGTTTGATGATTTCAAACTAGATTTTACAACCAATTTCATTAAAAACTCACAAATTTTCAAAGAATTTTTAAATTTTCGAAATTAAAAAAAAATCGAAAATCTAAATTTGATTTCTAAATTTGATGTTTTTGATATAATTATGTTGTTTTCATGAAAAACTATACATATTATAATTTTCAAATATTGTTTTCTAAATAGTTTTTCAAAACTATGCCCATTAGGATTCAATTTAGAGAACTTTGAATTATTGCGGACTCAATTGAGTTTTGGGATTGATTAAATTGCATACATGTTTTTCAATTTACAGGTTATATTCCTTTTTTCGATTCCTAAACCATGTTTAATCCCAAATGCCCTATAACTTCATCGAGTCGTTCTCATTCAAACCAACCTCCTAATCCCGTTCCTCCTTCACCTAGATCTCTTATAGGATCCTGTTTCAATATGCCTGAACGTCGTAGAGACGGCTTGTACCATAGGAATATAAATTCTTTCCAATCTTATAGAATCCGGGAAGAGCGTATTCCTTCTCTTCAAGCCATGATTGATATTGACTTCGAATACCTTCCGATTCTTAAAACTTGGAAGTTTGATAAATTGTTTCACCTCAAACCTATCGTCTATCAACAGTTAGTCTGCATCTTCTACTCCAATGCGGTATGCATTCAAAACCAAACTCAATGTGGGACTATAGCCATTAGATCTTATCTTTTAGGCCAATATATTAATATTGACCCCGAGACTATAGTTTTCCGTTTTGGGTTAGATGATGATGGGTTATATAATGAGAATGAAAATATGGAACATCCCTATGTTCCAAACTCTAGTGTTAGTACTCTACGATCTCATCACGATCGTTTTCTTCATTTGATGATCTCTTGGTGGTTTAAACCATCCGGAGGTAGGTACTCCACTCTTCATACTAGGGATTTATGGTGGATGCACTGTATTAAGAATAAGATCAAAATAAATCTGCCTCACATTATATTTAGTCAACTAGTGGACATCATAAACATTGTTCCTTCAAAACATGTCGAAACATTGATTTATGGATGTCTTCTTAGTAACCTTTTTATCAAACTCGGTCTAAACGTCTCTCTCGACAATCCTATTCCTCTCCAAAATTAAATCAATCTCACCTCATTGAAGAAAGCAGATTGGAAACAAGACGAGGAAACCGGTCTTTGGGTTTTTCGACCCGGTAAGCAAACCTCGGGATAATTCTTCACGAGCTGCTCCTAGCTCTTCTCGTGCTCCTCCTCCTCTGTCACTGGCTGCTGACAATGATCCCGAGTTTCAACAACTTATGCAAGATATCGACGATCATGTAACAGACGATGAGCCTGCACCGAAACCAACACGACAAGAGATGCGTGAACGTATGGACGCTCTCACTCTTGAAGTTCGAGCTCATTATCCTCCTCCTCCCGATCCTCCGATGGAGTGAATTTGTTTCCTTGTTATGTTTTCTTGGATTTTCAAACTTGAATTGATTTTGATGTTTCTGGATGTTTAAATTTGATGGTTGTTGGATGTTTTGAACTTATTTGTTGTTTTATGGATTTTTGAACTTAATATTTATATATATTTGGTTTGATTTTAACTTTATTATTTTGAGCTTAATGTTTTTTAATTTTTGCATCATATTAGTTCATTATGACCAATTATGCCATTTCACATTTGATTATGAAACTAATGGCTAATCTCTCTTTTGAAATTTGATCTTAGCAGCTTAAGCTATATATATATATATATATATATATATATATATATATATATATCAATTGGCTATGTTTTTCAAAACCTTGTTTAAATCGATTTAACAAAAAGGGGGAGAAATGTTAAAGTGTTAAAATGTTTTAAAGGGGAGAAGTGTTAAAGTAAGGGGGAGTAATTTCAAACTTAATTTTTTTAAAATTTATTTTCAAAGAAAATCTTAAAATTACACACATGTTTTGTTATATCAAAAAGTGGGAGATTGTTGAAAACATTTTGATGTTTCGATATAACAAATTAAGTATAAATGAATTTTAAGATTTTACAAATGATTTTTCTAAAGTATATTAGATTTAATTACTCGAATATCAAATTATTACTCCAAGTCTTCAAGATCAATTTCAAACCTTACTAAATGTGTAAAATTGTGTTTTATACTTAATATATTTTTTAAACAATTTTCACAAAGTATTTTGAACCAAAATCAAGCCTAAAATCAATTTTTCAAAGTGATGCACCGATGCACCAATCCATGCATCGATGCACCATGGAATAAATTGAACATCGAATGCATTTCATGCATCGATGCACATATTATGCATCGATGCAGTCAGAGTTTTATGAAAACATCAAATGCATTTGATGCATCGATGCACCAGCTATGCATCGATGCACTCTGGCTATTTTGAAACATTGAATGCATTTCATGCATCGATTAGTGCACCGATGCACTAAGGGGTCCAACGGTCAAAATATTTGAATTTTACACTTGATGCACCGATGCACCGATGCACCTTGGGTATGCATCGATGCACTGACGCTCCCAACTGATTTTATTAAGTGTTTTCACACTTAAACGGCTCTATTGACTCCACTAATCATCCACAACGTTCAGAATCATTTGAAGGTGTATTTAAACAAGCTTAGAAGCCATTGATCAAAAACAAGAAAACACAATAAACAAGAATCAAGAGAGAATCAAAGAGAAATAATCAAACCTCAAGTTTGAGCATTTTAAGTCTATTTTTCATTCAATATTCATTTTGCTTTCAAAAACACTACTTGTACTCAATTGTATTTATTTTAAAGTGTTCTTTTTTCTATTCTAGAATTGTGCAAACAATCTACCTTGTGAAGATTTCCTTGTAAGTTTTCAAATTTGTAATATTCTCTTTGAGAAAGAGTGTTATAAAGAATTGAGGTATATTTTTGAGGGTGTTATAAGGTTATCTCTTTAATCTCAAAAGAAAGAACAAATTAGTGAATTTATTGGAAAATCCTTAGTGTGGATACCTAAGGTAGTGGACGTAGACTTTGATTAAGAAAGTCGAACTACTCTAAATCGTTGTGCAAATCTTTTCAATTTTTTGCAAAAGCTTCCACCAAAATTTTAATTATCAATTCACTATCTCTTGACCAATTCTATCGATCGATTAACTTAATCGTTACTATTTTATAATTTTAATAGTCGTGACACTTGTAAAACATGGTTCTATAATTTGAAGATGATCGGTGTACTTTATTGTTTATCATTTTCCTTTATCTTCCACGTCAGTTCATCATCTCAGCTGCACATCCCGTCGCTAGCCCTAGAGTTTACTTTCCTTTCTGCCTTTCTCTTCCTTGCGATTTTTCTTTCCCATTCTACAAAAGGGAGGAAGATTTTCAGCCTTCAAAATTGCAAAACCTGGTATGTTTTCCATTTTCTCTATCGTTCTCATTTTCATTCATATTTTCGCTTTTTCCTGCACTTTCAGTCTAGTTGCTGTGAAATATATTGAATTTTATGATGAGGGTTTTGCTTTTTGGGGCTAATTATTTTATAAATGTTTGATCTTTGTTGTAGTCTGCTAATAGGAGATTTGTTTTTTAAGTGGGAGTTTTGATGGGTTGAGTTTGGGCATTTTATCTTTATGATGCAGGAACCTAACTCAGGCTTCTGTGGCAATTCTTAGGGAGAAATTTGAAGGATTTTGAATTAGGTTTTTAGAGTTTGAATAAAAGGTTGCTCTTTCTCTCATTGAATATCAGATTTAGGGGTTGACTTGGTTTCTTGTGGAGATTTGAATTTGGAATCCCAAAGTTTGATGCTTTTTAATTACTGTGGTTGTGGATATCTCGGCAAAGTCAACACAGTTAGTCGGTCATTTTTTTTATCTGGATATTGAAGTTTAGGTTGCTGTTGTGAAAAGATTTCTAGCAGATGCTTGAGGTTGAATTTTAATGTTCTGGGATATTCTGTTGAAGCTTTTGAATGGTTCTGACTTTGTGAGTCTCTGGAAATTTTGGGATTACTTTGTTGTAGTTCACTTTAGAATTTAGTTTTTTCAAATGGATAATTCGAAGAATCGGCTTAATGATCATCTTGGTGTGAAAAAAATTGGCAAGAATATAAGGAAGAGCCCGTTGGATCAACCTAACTTTGCTAATAATGCTGCTAGGCAGCAGCCTCAGCCTCAGGTTTACAATATTAGCAAAAATGATTTCCGGAACATTGTTCAGCAGCTCACTGGTTCGCCTTCACGTAATGATCCTTTGCCAAGGCCCCCACAGAATCCCCCCAAACCTCAAAGTATGAGGCTGCAGAGGATTAGGCCTCCACCGTTGACACCAATCAATCGGCCCCGTATTCCTCCTCCCGTTCCAGCCCCTGCTCCTGCTCATGCACCAGCTCCAGTTCCCCCTCCTGCTCCTTATAACACTGGCTTTGTTAGACCTGGTCAATATGGACAACCATCGCCTACAATGTTGCAACCTATAGTTCCTGGAGATGCTTTGTGGCCAAACACAGCTGAATCTCCCATATCAGCTTATATGCGATACCTTCAGGCTTCTCTTATAGATCCAAGTCCAGTTGGAAATCAAGGCCACCCTCAATTAAACCCTCCAGTTCCAGGGCAACCTAATACTCCCCCATCTTCTGGTTTACTTCCTAATCCACCGATGCTGGCAATCCCTTCGCCAAGAGGAGTAAATGGTCCACCAATGATGCCTAATCTCCCTTCTCCACGACTGAATGGTTCCGTTCCACCAATGCCCAATCTTCCATCACCAAGGATGAATGCGCCTGGCCTTTTACCTTCACCGGCATCTCAGTTCCTTTTGCCATCACCTACTGGCTATATGAATTTTTTGTCCTCCCGCTCCAACCCTTATGGGTTGCTTTCTCCTGGGTTTCAATTTCCTCCGCTGAGTCCCAACTTTGCTTTCTCCCCCATGGGTGGTCAGTCAGGGATTTTAGGTCCTGGGCCTCAACCTCCACCGTTTCCTGGTCTTATGTTTCCGTTGTCACCTTCTGGTTTTTTTCCCTACCCAAGTCCAAGATGGAGGGATCAATAATTCAAATTATAACATTGTTGTTCTCATCACCTTCATACTCATTCAGGAATTGGGGCCTTCATTCTCGTTGTTGTTTTCGTCTCCGCATAATGTATACTGCTCATGTAAGTGTTTCTTTCTTTCTTTTTTTGTGCCTTTTGTAATGTCCGTACCCATTTCCCAAGTTGTTTGCACTTAGGCTACCTAATTGCTGCAATGCTCTCTGTATACTTGGACAAGTTTTACATAGGAAATAGTAAAGATTGGATAACTAAGTTTGAACATCCTGAAGAAGCTGTAGCATGAAAGGAGCATAGGGTCGTGCGTAAAGAGTTTTATAGGTAGGCAATTTAGTTGAAACATTCTTCTGTAATTGTACTGTTGTGGATCCTAATTAGTTTTAGTTGAATTCTTGTTCATTAGTGAGCACGTAGCAATAAAATATTCAAGCACCGCCCATTATTTACTATTCCATGGTATTCAAAACAAATGCGCATGGTGTTAAAACTCTACTTTTGCTCAAGATGTATCATTGAAGTGATTATGTTTAACTGATCCCACTGTTTGATGATGTGATGGCAGAGATATAGTTATACATTTAGTGGGGTTATTGAAATGGTGTGATGATGATAGTAATAGTGTATCATGCACTTTGAAGACCTAATAATAATATTTCTCAGATAAATGTATTTCAAATGGAGTGTGTTGACATTTTTGCTTAAAGAACTTTTTTTTTTTTGAATAGTCTGGTGTGGTTACGAGGTAGATCTGTTCAGTATTTTTTTAACTAATTGACAACACACATTCCTTGCAAATGTAGTTGCTCAAACCCAGAACCGCTAGGGAAAACAACATTCCTTTTACCAGTTAGGCCACTTGATGGATTCTTTTGCTTAAAGAACTTTGAATAACTTTGTTGAGCCATTTTTCTTTCTCGAGCTTCATATACATGCACACATATACATATATCAGCTAATTATCATTTCCATGGGTCCGCATTCCACAGCTCAGTTGTTGCCTGATACGTATACAATTACATGCCTGGATTGATATATTTGTGTGTTTGGAAGTACTAGAATTAGGTGAGAGAATGGGTAGAAGCAAAGCTTTAGGGGAAAGTGTTTATATCACTGACTTTGAATTCATTTAAAACAAGCTTCCTTCATCCTGTTACCCAGATTCCTTTAGGGGAAAGGAAATGGACCTTGGTTCATTAGTGAAGCAAAAGGGTTTTGATTGTTTTCAGTCTAGGCATTCACAAGTGTATGTGTGTATGTATGTAGGGCCGTAAATGAGTCGAGATCGAGTATTGCTGAGCTCGAGTCGAGTCCATTCGAATCGATTATTGACTGAGTTTTGAGCGAATCGATCTCGAATAGTTCTCTTTCGGTCTTGTCTCATTTGCAGCCTTATATGTATGTATGTAAACTTAAACTCCAGTCAGTCAGGGCCACATATTGCTAATGCCCCAGTGAACTTATGGAACCAATCTGTACTTATCGTTAAAATGTTCAATTTTGTACGTCTCAATTTTTATTTTTAAATTATTTTCTCAAGTTGTGTTTATATAATGTCTCAAGTCATTATAGTTTGTAAATCTATTTAAGTTCAATTTTAACGCTATTTTGTTTATCTGACAAGTATTATATATAATTGCATACCCATACGATGTACGAGTTACTTGCAATATGATGTAGTTAGATTTTGAGGTGTTCAATCGGTTAATTTGGTCACCAATTAAATTAAATTAGTTAAATTAAATTAATCAAACTTTTTTTAACCGTTAGCTGAATATTTTTTAAAAATTTTATTAACTGAAATTTATTGTAAGGTTTTTTAGTTAGATTAATTTGGATTTAATGGACGTATTTTTTCCGTTTAGGTTAAAATTTGATTGGGCCTTGAAAATTTAATGTGTCTAGTATGGTTAAAAAATAATTAAGTTTTAATTCTTAATGGATTTGAGCTTAAATATTTGATGTATATAATATATCAAATATTTTTTTATTAAATTGGTTAACTAATCGATTTCAAATTGAATTAATTGATAATCATACTTTGAAGAAAAATTAAATTGATTTAACATATAATTATATGACCGACTGATTAAATTTTGATTCGATTGGATAATTCAATTAAAATATAACATTAAACCCCTTAATCAGATCACATAATTTTTTACAATTACATTCACATTTTTTCTGATTTGTATAGAATGATTAATTTGTTGTAAAATTATATGCAAGTATAGAATACAATGTGAGGGTGAATAATAATCTTTCATTGCTCACATTATAATCTTGTGCATCCTATTTATAGGTTCTAAAATCATAGGTTACTAGAACCATATTAAATCTTTAATCATCACTATATATTAGTTAGGAAAAGTGAAACATTAATAGAATGAACATCCACTTTAATAAATATTATATATAACACTCCCAGTTAGATGTTCATCACTAAAATATTTGTCTCCTTCAAACCTTAAAAGGAACATCTTGAGGGACAAAACTTAGTGAAGGAAAAAAGAGTACATCATCCTTTAATACTTATGATATGTTGCCTCGGTAAAATTTTTCTAGAAAAATCTAGTGATACAAAATCATGCATAAAGGAAAAAGAGTACAACACATATTTACTTCCTCTCATGAACATATCGTTAAAGATCTTTGTAGTGTTATAGTCCAATATTGAAAATTAACTTCTCAAATGTAGCATTAGGGAGCACATTAGTAAATATATTTTCTAAATTTTCACTTAAGCAAATCTGTTGGACATTAACATTCCTTTTCTTTTGTAGATGTTAAGTAAAAAAATATTTTTTGTGAGTTGTGTTTTGTTCTCACCTTTTATATATTCTTCACATTATTATCTTCATATAATAGTGTCAAAGTTATTCTTCCGGAGCATAAATCGTAATCTTCTCGAATGTGTGATGAATTACATATCTTAGCCACACATATTCACGATTAGCCTCATGGATAATCAAAATAATTGGAGGAACCGGTATCAATTGTTTGTTCCATAGAGTGTTAAGAAATTGCAGTACTGTCATATGCAAATACATAATTAGTTTGTGATCGAGCACCATGAGGATCAAATATGTTCCTCGCATTTGAAAAATAAACTAATTCTTGAAAATAACGAAATATGTGTTTGACCTCATTCCAATATATTCGTGTTGGACATGAGCTAAATTTTGCTAACAAATTGACAACAAATGATATATTAAGTCATGTATGGCTAGAAAGATACATCAATGCACCAATGTCACTTAAATATAATATTTTTTGGACTAAAAAGATTTTTATCTTTAGCTGAAGGAGAAAAAATATATTTATTTACATTCACCGACCTAACAATTATCGGGGTACTTAATGAATGTGCATCATGCATGTAAATTGTTTTTCACTTTTTTTTTATGTAAGTTGATTGATGTGTAAAGATTTCATTTTTAAGTGCTCAACATATCATTCAAGATAAAATCTTGTCTTTTTAATGTCTTTTATTTTAGATTCTTTATTTAAGTATTTCACGGCAACAGAGATCTCTTTAGAAATTACAATAATATTTAAATCGTCAAAGTACCCATAATAATGACAATAGAGATGTAACTTACGAATGAAATTGAGGAAATCATAGACTAAAGATGGTAATAAGTTTATTCTAATTAATCATATATTAAATATCATAATAAGTTCATATTCGACATGTATGTTGTTATACGTAAAGGTAAAAAGAATTATATTTTATACTATCGTGTTGTAGTATTATTACTTTGGTTTATTATTAGTGAAACTTTTTATTTTCCATAAGTTAAATTAAAGTAATGATAAATATCATATTTTGTTATTTTTTTTAATTCTCAAACTTATTATAAAAACACTTATCACAACTATACTATCATTTAAATAAATATATTTTATTATCGATGTACTAAATAATTTTCCTACTACATTTCTCTTTACTAATTACATGTTGAAAACTAATTATTGGTCACTTGAACAACAGCCTGTAAGAGCATTTTATTAAAGCTTCAACTGAACCTAGGGGTCCCAAGCCAATAATAACAAGAATAATAAAAAAAAAGTTGGATCAATTATTCTTAAAAGATGATGAATTTCTCTTAAAATTTTATATTATTAAAGTGAGAATAAAATATGTTGAAAAAGTGAGAATAAAATATGTTAAATCAAACGTAAAAATGCATATTTCCATGTTTAAATTTTATATTGAAATAATAACAAGAAAGGCACCATAGATAGGACACTAATTTAAGATGGCGGGAGGAGCTCATTTGATTTGCTCATTAAATTTTAAAGCATTTACTTGAAGTTGTAGTCATATAGACGGAATAAGAAATTTATCAAATAAAAGTGACAGTATTTTTTTATTTTTCAAAAATATCGATAAAATTTATTTTGTAAAATATAAACTTTTAAAAAAAATAATCCACAAGGATCCTTTGACAATCAACTAATATTTTTCTCTTAAATTTTGTACATTTTTATGGTTTATAATCATATTTAAAAAATAGATTAAGATCCACTTACATAATGTAAAATTCTTTTAATTTTACATAGATTTAGGACAGTTAGATAGTGAAAATAACAGTTTGCTAAAAATTAAACAATGAGTTAATCTCAACCGTATATTTTCACTCATTTAACAATCTTAAATCTATATAAAACTAAAAAAAATATTTTATAAAAGTGGGTCATAATCTATATTATTATATTAATTTAATAATATCTAAAATTTGCCATACATGTTTATACCTATTTATTTTTGTTTTCTAATTCTAGGTCTAAAGCTTCCCTTTATAGCTTTATAAATAGTACTATAATTGAAACGTGATATATAATGAATTATTAGAGTTTGATTATGTCAAATTCAGTTAATACTTGAATTGAATGGACTCGAATATAATTATTAACGAGCACAAACAAACTAATTTATACTTGACTCAAAAAATCGCGAAAAACTTAAAAAAATAATATATTAAAATTTTCTAATTTTCTAATTAAGTTATTAACAGTATTAACACACACATATATATATTTAAAAAAATATAATATAATGTTTCTATGTACTTAAGGTTTGAGCTCGAGTTCGAACTTCAATCGAGTTAAATCTGACAATGTTCAGTGGTCAAATTTTTTGAGCTCGAGTCGAATTTTAATTTTTTATTTTGAGTTCAAATCTAACTTGACAATTTAAACTCGTGAAATTTTGAGTCGGATATCAAGTAGCTCGTGAGTTTTTTAAGATAAAAATTATAAGCTAGTGAGTTTTCGAACCGAGTCAAACTTGAAAATTTTAAGTCCAAAAACTTACGATTTGAATCGAAATCAATTTTAAATTTCTTGAATCGAGATATATTAAATAATATTAGAACTCAACTAAACTCGTTTACACATCTATTTATAATAATGGGTGCCTTCTTTTTTATCTGTGAGTGTCCGG